CAGGGGTCAATTCAAAACCTGACTCGACTGAGTCCGTCATGACATGGAAGTGGTTCTTGGACCTTCGGTATTCTGTCTCCGGAGCTGGCGAAGAGAATGGGTCGAACTGTCTAGATCTGCGGCCACGGATTGTCGCGCGTGGAGAGGCACCATACGGGACATCATTGAGGCCGGCTAGATCGGTCATGATCGCAGCCGTAACAAGTACAAGTAAGTATCAGATGAGGGCATGATAAGCCTTATTCGGGTTGTGCTGCCGTATTTAATGCCGAACGTGGGGACGGGGGAGGGAGAGGGCGTTGGTGGCATTCGCAGGTGAAGACGTCGGCTTCAGCCACTCCTGCCCTTTACGGCATTCTCGTTCCGTGGGACCTGAGTCAGGCTTGGCATTCCAGACAATGTCCTAACATGGGCGGCCAAGAGAAGAGAGAGAGGGCGGTAGAGGCAGCGCAAGTCTACTATCACTTATACCATCGTGCCTGCGTCGCCATGCTGTGAAATATACGGTATAACTCGTTGGAATTGACGGTCGAACTGTCATATACCTCCCCGTTGGGATTGCTTGCTGTTGAGCTAGTTGGTCTCCTACCCAAGATGCTTATCTGTCTGCTACATAGTCACCGCCGGTCTTGATAAGCCCTAGAGTCACCACCGTACAAAGTGAAATAGGCGTCAAGTCTGCGAGCAGAAGGGGACAAGTTTGCACCAACCCTCACTCCCATCCCCACTCAATAACAGAGGTTTGTGGTGTCGGAGCTACAACAGCTACTTCAGTACGCACCGAAGTACAGGTAATGCAGGATCGGCTCCAACTGATCGAGTGCATTTAGCCGTCAATTTTGGAAAGACATAACAAAGTAAAAGCAGAAGACGCATATTTTTCCTCATAGGAAGCATTCAAATAGTGCGGAATTTACTGGAACCAAAAAATTTTGCGTCTGCTCACCAGTTGGTACCTGGTGAAAAAAAATTCAGTTCGACAGTGTTAGGGAGAAAGAATGGAGGCTAAGGAGTATTAATTCCCAGGAGTCTGCGTTCCATACGTGAGGGGTTGCTGTGGCGGACGGCCATCAATGCTGTCCAGCTTCCCTGTTAAATGCGAACTGCCTCAAGGTCATGTTTCTTCGCAGGCGGCTGCTTCAGATTCGCTGACCTTAAAACGCAAACACGCGTGCATGCACGCGTAGCAAAATAGTCGCGTTTTCTCAAGAGCCACTTGAACACCCCGGCCTG